CACCTTGGTTTATACATTGTGATAACCCATCCAGGCATCCTTTATAGATTTCAGATCCCACCACTGAAGGAATGGGAATTTGGGGAGTTGGTCCACATTTCAAGATGTATGTGCCCAGGCTGGAAAACACTCTCCTAAGCCATAAATCATGATTTACGAGCCACGATTGGCTGGGTTTCACAGCATGCTAAAACCGCAAAAGCAGCCTTAGAACTTAGTGCAGTGTGTAAATCCGAACAAGGTTGTGTCACTTGGATTTCCCATTCAGGCGCTCTTAAGTATTTCAGCGGCAGGTAAACATTCACAGAGTTGGCCTCCGTGCCTTACTTACTCATAGATTTTCCTCTCTGCTTTTCAGTTTTTTTTAAAAAAAATATGTTTAATAAGATGTGTAAATTAGTTTACACTTGTTGGTCCGCTTTCTTTGACATGCCATCTTGCAGTTCTGATTATTCCCTTGGCAATCAAAAAGCAAACAATTACCTGCATTTTCAAGCCTCTTTTTAAGCAGAAAGAACAGTTAATCATCTCAAATTATGTTGCGTGTTATGACAAAAGGGCGTTTTCATCTGAAGTATTTGCTAGTATTTTAGGTAAAAATGAAGTTACTGGTGGAAAATAATTGGGTTTTCCCCTCCCTCCGATTAGTTGAACCTCAAGCACCTTTAATTTAGTCTCTTTTGGTATCTTCCTCTCTCTTTCTCAGTGTTGCCTCTTATGAGATTATTACAACAAAATGTTCACACGGATCCTCTCCTGGGTGGTTCTCTGAATAATTAAAAATAGAAGGGGGGAAAAAAAAACTTTACACAGGCTAAGCTAAACTTCGGAGGATTGCGCTTCTATCCATGGTTTTAGCAACATTAGCAAGTAAGACAGGGCTGATTTTCCAAAGGTACCGACTACAGACTTTCTGGCATTTAATGGGAATTAGAAAAAGAGGACTGCGAAAATATCTACAGACTCCTCACATCTTGGACACAAACTGTTTCAACTCCTACTCTCAAAATGACGCTATAGAGCACTGTACACCAGAACAACTAGACACAAGGGGAGTTTTTTCCTGAACGCCATCACTCTGCTAAACAAATAATTCCCTCAACACTGTCCAACTATTCACAAAGTCTGCACTGCTATTACTATTAATCTTCTCATTACTCCTTATCACCCCTCCCCTCCCACTTGTGACTGTATGACTGTAACTTTGTTGCTTGTATCCTTACGGTTTATATGGACTGTTTCCTGCTATGATTTGATTGCTTATTGTACCCTATGAGTATTATTAAGTGTGGCACCTGATGATTCTTGACAAATGTATCTTTTTTAAAAATGTACACTGAGAGCACATGTACCAAGACAAATTCCTTGTGTGTATAATCACACTTGGTTCATTCATTCATTCATTCATTCATTCATTCATTCATTCATTCATTCTTTTCCAACTCAAAGTTCAGCACACAGGTAGTAGTCCTGGGCTTACAACCACTTGTTTAGCAACTGCTCGTAGTTAGTATGGTGCTGAAAAAAAAGTGACTTACAACCGGTCTTTGCATTTATGGCCATTCACAGGATCGTGTGATGAAAACTTGGGCACTGAGTATAACCGGCATGTATTTATGATGGTCGCAGCATTCCAGGGTGATATGATTGCCGTTTGAGAGCTTCTCAGTTGGTTTCTGACAACAAGTCAATGAATGGGAGATTTTTCTAAAATCTAACGTTGGCTTCAAGAACATCCTGATGAGAAGACGTCAAGATTTAGAGAGTGAAAAATCTTGGGTTTCGAAGATAAAATTGTTCTATGGTTCCAGAATATGCCAATGAGCAAGCAATTACGGTACGGTCATCTTCCAATTAGCTTATAGTCCCTATGAAGTCTTGTCGTTGGAAGTCCTCCGCCTTGCCGCTCTTTGACACAGAGTTGGAAGAGACTTCAAGGATCATCTAGTCGTACCCCCTGTTGTGTGTAGGAAAATCAATTAAACCACCCATAAGAAATGGTCTATAGGTCTCCTGCTTGAGAAGGGGGTTGGACTAGAAGACCACAAGGGCCCTTCCAATTCTGTCATTCATATTTGGCTTTCATCATACTTGGTTGAGCTCTGCTAAAACCCTCCTGTCTTCCTGGATGAAGGTCCCTGAAGAAATCGAGAACCTTTGTTTATCCAGAGCGGCTTTTTTTCTAGCATTTACCTCCCTTCTACCTGGGTTGCTCCACCTAAGCACAAATTCATGGATTTTTCTAAGGAAACCCCCCCAACTTGGTAGCTCCAGATCAGTGGTGGGATTCCAATTTTATTTTATTTTACTCTCGGTTCTGTGGGCGTGGCTTGGTGGGCGTGGCAGGGGAAGGAGACTGTAAAATCTCCAGTCAGAGGTGGGATTCTCAGGACTACTCAAAATTTCGGCTACCAGTTCTCCAAAACTGGTCAGAATCTGCCGAATGCCACCTCTGCTCCAGATGCATCAGGATTTCATGTACAAGCGGTCCATCAGCCCATTGAGGAATTCTGGGAGCTGTAGTCCCAATCCCACTGAAGATGCCCAGGTTGGCGTGGAGCGGACCTCTTGCCTAGAAGACACGCTTTGAAATTTACGTTTCAGGGGTTCAGCTGGTGGGCATATTTTTCCTTCTGGAGGCCCTTGAGATGCTACATTTTGTCCAACGTCAGCAGTTGAGTGTTTGACTTGGACACGCCCTGCCTCCCCCCCATCCATCCCTGCTGGTCCAAATGTTATTTTGAGTTTGGTTTGAATTTCAACCCCAGAAGACTTTGCCTTCTGTGGCTTTGGGTTTTGTCCAAGCCGGTTGGCTTCTTCTGGTTTCATGTCTTCGGCGTTGTATATGTTTCTTATAGATGGCAAAGTAAAAACAGTCCTCGTGTTTACGTTTTTGGGGGATAAATGAGAGGGGGGAGGATAAAACACCCCGCCCTCAAGTATGCCTGCTCTTACACATGTACATGCACCATCCTTCCAAGTTTACAAAGAATGCACTGGTTTTTTTATTTTTTTAATTATTCCCCTAACCACCGAAAAAAGGAGAAGACCATGCAAATGTGTATGTTTGTCTGCAAAGGGGAAAATTAAAAGGAGGAGGAGGAGGAGGAGATGAAGGGGTGGAGGGGGAAACAGCCTTATTTTATTTGAAGTGGGAAGGAATCCAGATCCTCCACCAGGCAGCCAGTCCACCTTTTCTAGGCAGTTCCGCCCGCTTTTCCTCCTCTTTCTCTTTCTCTCTCTCTCTCTCTCCCCCCCCCCTCCAAGCATCCTCCTGGATGCTGCCTATTGCACTGAACTATTTCGGTGGCCAGTCTGGGTGGAAGAACACAGCGCAGTGCCGCGTCCGCCTCCCTCCCCAAAGCCCGGACAGCGCAGGGATCCGCGTTGCTGCCCGCGTGCTGAGGCTGGGACTGTCACTCATTCTCGGATCAGCTCCCGAAAGCAGCTCGGAAGCCGCTGGATAAAAAAATAATAATAATAAAAAAAGGAAATAAAAATCAAACTAATTTCTCCCCCCTCTCCCCCCGCCCCCGATAGATAGAAGAAACGGGGGAGACTCGGGCATCGCTAGGTCGGTTGGGCCATTCCGGACGTTTTTGTTTCTCTTCCCCCCCTTTTCCTCCCCCCTCCCTCCTCGCCTGGCATCTCCCGGATTGACCCACCCAGGTTCCTAGCGAAGAAGAGGGAATAGATCAGCCCGGGCATCGTCACATCTGTATCTGGTCCAGCGAAAGAAATCTCTGCAGCGCAACTTCCGCGGCGGCCGGCCGGTGACAATGCTGCAAAGCACGGACCTCGTCTGGACTTGGCTTCTGCTGGGCACCGCAGGTACGTCTCGAGCTTTATTATCTGGAGGTGTGGCGGGTGTGTGTGTGTGTGTGTGTTGGGGGGGAAGCAAAGGGGGCGACGCCGGGACCCCAGCCATTGCCCAGCTCCGGCGGCTTTGCTGCCCGCTGGCTCCCTTTGCGCTTTGCCGGACGTCTCACCTGGGGGACCCTCCGGCAAGGCGCTGCCTCTTTTGGGGCGGAGGGAGGGAGGGAGAGACCCCCACCCCACCCCTTGGCTTGCCTCGCCCTTGTCTTCACCCGCCAACCCCCCATCCACCCACCCCAATCGCCGGCTTGCCTTCCCTCTGCCCTGCCGGGCTTCGTGCGTGTCGGCGAGGCTGGGTGCCACCGTGCCAGGGCGCTAGCGGGCTTGGGAGGGCAGAATTTGGGACCGACCCACGCCTCCTCCTCCTCGCCTGGTCGTGGGGCGAAAGCCGCCCGGGCATCTTGCGCGGAAACAATGAGCTTGGCACTGGGGCCGTAGAGGGGGGGGGGGACGGGGGGCGACTCCGTTAACGGGGTGCAGAATTGCGCGCAGGCAAGGCGAACCTCCGGAAAGTGGGTGCGGACGCGGCCGGCAGGCAAGAAGGGAAGCAGGGAGCGCCCGTGGGACGGGGGGCTGGAGTGGGGAAGGTGCGGGGGGGGGGGGAGAAAGCCTCGGCGCACCCACCCTACCCAACCCAACCCAACCCCCGGCGGGCTGGCTCGGGTGATGCTTCGCTCCTAGCAACGTCGCCCTCATTCAAACCAGCACGGAAAATTGCGGGATTGGTTGGGACCGGGGGTGGGGGGTGGGTGGGGCGGGATGCTGGGTTGGGTGGTGGTGGTGGGGGAGGACTGGCTGGATGAGGGGGGGACACACCGCGCCGTTTGACAGGCGAGGGCGGAGGGGGCTGGGAAGGGCGTGCAGCAAGGGCGCGCGGCGGGGGGGAGACGGCCCGGGCGCCTATTTTGTTTGGGGGGGGGGGGTGGGGGGGGGGGGGGGGGAGAAGTGGGCGGCGCGTTGGCGGGGGGGGGGGGGGGCAGGTGCAGATGCGGGGCAGGGATTCGCCCCTCCGCGCGCGCGAGACGCTGCCGAGTCTGGCTGGCGTGCCAACTGCAGACAATGGAGGGAGGCGGCGGCGGCGGCGGCGGCGGCGGCGGCTGCTGCGTGGAGGGGATTTCGCGGGGCCGCCGTGGATGGAGGGGGGGGGGCAAGGGCTGCCTTTCCCCACCCCCGCGCCCCTCGGGTGCCTTGCTGAGGATCCCTGCTGCCGGCCGGCTCCGACACGTCCCCGTCGCGCCGCCGCCGCCGCCGCCGTTGTCATTTCCCCGCGTCCAATTATCTGTAATTTAATTCATTAGCTGGGGCGCTTGCAGAAGCGCACACCTTGCTTTGAGGAGGGGGTTGCGGGGAGGCGACGGGGGGCGATTCCCGAGCGGGAGCAGAAGCCAGAGGGCGGGTTGGAGTTTGCAAAGAGCTTTGCAAGGAATGTGGGAGGTGGGATTGAACTGGGGGGGTGAGGGTGGGTGGGGAGGCTCCGGGGTCGGCGCCGGCGGAGCCCAAGTGGAGAGGGGGTTTTCAGCCGGAGGAGTGGGGCGCGCGCGGGGGGGGGGGGGGTACCCCCGGCAAGGGGGGGCAAGGGGGGGGGGGGGGAAAAGCCCCCTCCCCCCGCCATTTATGGGGGGGCGGGGGAGAAGAAAGCAATAACAACAACAAAAAGGGCTCGTCGGAAAGGATGCGCGCCCCCGCGGCCGCCCCTCCTGGGTCTGGCGAGTCCAGCCAGGCGCGCGCCGCCGCCGCCGCCGCCGCCGCCGCGGGAAGAGCGAGCGAGCCCCGGGCCCGGGGAAGAAGAGGAGGAGGATGCGGGGGGGGGGAGCTGGGCGTTGTTGACGGCCGCCTGGGCCAATCAGAGCGCCGCGGCGCCCGGGCGGGAAATGCCGTTAAGGCTCCGCCGCTGCTTTTCCTCGCGCCGCGCCCAGGGTCTGCCCGAGCTTCTCCAAGCGGGCGCCCGCCTGAGCAAACGCCGCCAGGTCGGCTCCTGCGAGCAGCTGAGCCTCTGACGGCGGAGGAGGGGGGGGCGGAGGGGGGCGGAGATTCGTGGCCTGGTGAAGATCCCCCCCGTGGGGCTCAAAAAGACCTGTCAAGGGTCTCTCTCTCTCTCTCTCTCTCTCTCCCTCCCCCCCTTCCCAAAGGGTTCATCGGGAGGGTCCTGAGCCCCTTGGCACCCCAGCAGCTGGGCAAGCGAAGATGTCGGCAATTGCCCTCCTCCCTTCTCCAAGATGCCCCCAGCCCCGAACTAGGTCTCCCCTGGATTGGCATGGCCACTCGGAGGGGTTGGGCTGCAGTGGTGTCCCCCCATGTGACCCCCCCCCACCCAGCAGGGTCAGTGAAGTTTCCTCAGATTGCCCCCTTCGATTGGAAGGGCTGGAGGGGCGACTTCCAATCACCTTTCCAGGGGCACGGACCCCTGCCCTCCCCCCCCAGTGCCCCTTTGATAGATGTAGCTGGCGAGGTGAAGATGTAGCTTCACTCAGCCATGCCCCTTTCCCTCCCTGGCACACACCCACAGCCCTGGTTGGTCAACTCCAGTTGGGTGGGCCTTGACTGATATAAGCCGGCACCGGACTTCCATTCAGTGCCATAGCCCAGGGCCCTCCCAACTGTAGCAACTTGAAGACTTGTGGACTTCAACTTCAGTCTCCACAAGTCTTCAAGTTGCTACAGTTGGAGGCCCTTGCCATAGCCAACTTGCAATGTTGTGGTAACTCCAAAGCCTTCTCGTTGCACAAGAGTTGATGCTGGTGCACGGCCCACCTGATACAGGTAAGGGTCTGTTGCAACTGTGCCCTGTTGTGATGCAGTCACTGGTCTCTGTTAGAATTGTGTCTTCTCCCAAAAGTGCTTTTTTTTTTGAAGAGACAATTGGAGTTTCTGGTTTTTGAAGATGTTTCACTTCTCACCCAAGAAGCTTCTAGAAGCGAAACGTCTTCAAAGAAAAACCAGTCTAATTGCTTCTTGAAGAAGTGCCTTTGGGACAAACCATGGCCTGGATGACTGAGAATCTCCATAGACATTTAATTGTGGCTTATGTACACCTGGTTGTAATCCTAGTTTCTACAGCAGTAGTGTTCAACTTTGGCAACTTGTAGACTTGTGGACTTCAACTCCCAGAGAACTCTGGGAGTTGTAGTCCACCAGACTTCAAGCTGCCCCGTTCTACAGTTTACTGTTTGATAATTGTTTATGTGGGCATTGTTGGCATCCTCTTACATTATTTGAAGATGTTGAAAATGGAACAGAGTGGCATATGTTAAAAAGTCATTGGTTTCCTTGTTGCAAGGACCTTCTCATGGTTGATTCTATCCATGGGGCCTCCAACTCTTGGGGAGATCATCTGGCATTGCTTATGGTTTATTTGGATTGATTTTTTCCCACTGGAAGTTGATTCCATTGCTTCTTATCAAGTCTACCCAGAGTTTTTTTGATGTTATCTGCTAGTAAGCACAAGGCGGTTGATAGACCACCCATGGTCCACCTGTGGTAGTAGATTTGGCGGCGCACTCGCAGGCTTCGGAAAAAAAAATGTACATCAGTTAGATCTAGGCTCTGGTGGCCATATCTTTTGTGCAGCTTAGTATTTTGTCTGGTTTGTTTTGTTTACAGGGGATGTTCCAACGATCCTTTTTTTCAAGAGGCAACTGGACTTTCTGGGTTTTTTTTTTCTTTTGAAGACATTTCACTCCTCATCCAAGAAGCTTCTTCAGCTCTGACTAGATGGTGGGGAAATAACAGCTGGTCATTTGCATTCATTGCAAATGAGTCATTGAGGCCAATTGGAGGTTTACTTGTGTTCTCAGGGTCACCTGAGTGGTGCCCCCGGTTCCTGTAGTCTGCAATTTTCCCCACTTGGCAATTCGTTCTTACTCCCCCACCATTCCAAGGGGGTCCATCCCAAATTGTACAGCTAAAAGTCTGTAGAGATTCCTGGGAAAAGCACCTTTGACACAATTATGACCTGAGAATCTCTGACTGAGAATGACTACAGACTTTTATGGTTGACGGCACAGGTAGTCCGCAGTTTACTAACATTTGTTTAGTGATGGTTTGAACTTACTGAAAAAAATGACTTACGATCATTTTTCACACTTACGACCATTGCAGTATCCTCAGGGCCATGTGGTCCAAGTTCAGAGGCTTGGCAACAGGCATGTGTTTGTGACAGTTGCCGTGTTCAGGAGTCATGTGTTCAGTGTTTGCGACCTTCAGATAAGTCAAAGGAGAAGCCAGATTCGTTTAACAACCATGTCACTAGCAATAGCACTTAGACTTATATACTGCTTCACAGTGTTTTACAGCCATCTCTAAGCGGCTTACAGAGTCAGTATATCTGTTAACAACGTCAGTGATTCATTTAACAATGGTGGCAAGGAAGATTGTAAAATGCGACAAAGTTTTCACTTAAGTGTCTTGCTTAGAAAATGGAAATTTCGGCCACAAGGCAAGGACTGTGTTGTGTATACCAAGAAAATACATTAATTTAGTAATTGTGCTTAGCATGTTATATTATCCATTTCCTTCCTGCTGATCAGTTACTTTCTACAATATGGGCAAATCCAAAAGGTAATAGGAATAAGATGCTTCTGTATCAAAAAGACAACGTTGTAACCAAAACCAACAACCCAGCATAAAAATGGCTATGATTTAGGCAAACAATAGCTCCTTGAAAATTGACACAGATTGTTGCAATAAGCTTTTGTGGATCCGATTCTCGAAACACAAAATAGGTTGCTGAAAGATCACAGAGTGTCTTCCCCACTGCCTTTGTTACAATTTTGTTGCAATCTGCACTTACACAACCAATACTGCACTCTGAATGGAGTTGCAACCCCCGGAACCCTGATGTAATAGTAGATTGACTGCACGGTTGACACTGGCTTTCATTCGTTCCACATGATATTGTTGCTCTGTCTTGCTGCTTTTATTTGTTGTCAATAAAAGTTGTACATTTTGTGTGTGCT